ACATTCATGTTTACTTTTATGCTGTCCTCTTCAAATTTCCAATTTAGCACATATTTTAAAATATATGAAAATATTCACACAATGGCACATAATAAATGTTGATAATTAATAATAGGTAATTATATAAACATACTTCATACAATTTTTTAGACAATGAGATTATCAGTACAAAAGCATAGAGATTATCAATTGAGATTTCCACTGTTGGTGGACTTAGTAATATGACTAGAGCTAGAGATCTAGGAAGTATACACTGAGTTCACTTTGGTCTACAACTTGCCTAAGTGAGAAAGAAGTCACTGGCTAAGTTGGTAACAATATCCTGAAGCTCAGTAGAGCCTCATTGTTTGGACTAGGGAAGGTGACAAAGCCCCTAAGATCATCTGGGGATGACAGGCACTGGGCAATGCTGAATTACAAGAGAATGTGTAGTGTTTGGGGGAACACTTACAGGTGTGGCCTAAGAGAGTCACAGTGGAAGTCTCTTAACAAATGACCAACACCTGAAGGAGTTAGAGACCTAGAGTTCCCCTAAGGACAGAGATTTAGTGTGCCCCTTAGTCCTTTGGGCAGCACTAGTAAACCTCACAGTAAAGGAACACAAGCCAGGTTTCAGTGAGGATGGGAGAGAGCTCTGGCTATCAGATGGAAATAAGCCACAAGAAGGGTAAGAGCACCCTGACATGTATTTCCCCCATGATCCTGCAGAGTCAGTTCTACTTAGGCAACTAGCTAATCCATGGCTAATTCACACACATATATTCTATAGTAAAAGACAGCCCTTAAGATACCGAGTTTCCCATCTCAGTTAAATGAGAAATCACCATCAAGGAAAAAAATGAAAAAGCAAATTATGGTATTTTAACTTATATGCTTCCTAGATACAGAACCTAAAGTTTACACAAGTTCTAAAAATAAGTTGACATTCCTTGGACAGTTTTTAAATGTTTAGAGTTCCATATCAATTTAAAAGATCCTTCTTATTAATATAGCTTACAGGTAATATGAAGGTGAGGGTGCAATTATATAACTAGACCCAAGATAAATGATAATGGGTGTTTATTGGTAAACAATTACACAGAAAAATACTAGGAACCACTGCAGCGTTTCCCTGCTCTTCCTACCCGATTCGTTGACCTACCTAAAAGAGTGATCGAAGGAAAGTCAAGCCTGAAGCTCCTCTCTTTCTGAATCCATCCTCCTGAAGCCACACCCAAAGGGTGTGGCCACCATTGCAGGTCCACAGACCAGATGCCTACAATAATATTAACTCCTCCCATGGCCCTGATTGGTTCACAGTCAATGAGAAAGACTGTGGACATTGCTGAGAATAAAATATCCCCTTCAAAGAATGTCACTGACTACTGGGCTGCTATTGAGAACATCTCCCAGCATCTCATTGAAGACAGGAGTTTGTGATGAAATCCAGTAATGACAATTCCCCAAGGATACAGTCAAAGCCTGACCCAAAGAATGGTGCAGAGCTCTCAAGGTAGAGTAGACCTTGTATTCCTACCTATCCACTGCCATGAAAATAAGGCAATTAACCTGCATCTTCTCTGGAAAGAAAAGCCAGGTCCTATCTTCAACAGGCTCTGCTGGCAGCTTCTCCTCCATGGTCTCTGAGCAGCTACAAGTCACCAACTGTTTCTAATAGCCTTGTCCCCAAATGTCTGAGGTTCTCTGAATTCTGACTGATCAAAATATGCCAACTCAAATGCTTGACAAGATCAAATAACCAGAGCTGTTTAAACATCTGACTTCAGATAACATCTTCCAGAACAGTTAACATTCTAGATTGTTTAAACTCCTCTTGCCCCTTCCAGCTCCCAAACAACACTTTCTGGAAGCCACTCCTTAAGCCACCCCACCTTACCACTGAACGCCAAGTTGACTTAGGGTCACCTCCAGATTTAAGGTTGTTACCCTGTTCCTTAATCTAACAACAGCTGCCTCTCCATGGTCAAGCTAAATCCATTTAGTTTATGTCTGACTATAGATTTTCTAGGGTGGAAAAACTTCTAAAGTAATTCTCATTCTTCAGATCAAATAATAATAATAATGAAACTAACAGGCATCCATAAGCTATTAGAAGCTTCAGTTCTCAGTCTCTGCATTATTCATGTGTTCAAACTGTCATAAGGGTAGCAAATTCTCTGTGTAACCAGGCTGGAAAAGTCCCTGCCCTCAAACACATTGGTATGCACATTTCTGAGGCTTGGTTCTACTTAACATTTTCATGAGTGACCTGCTTAAAGGAACAGAGAGCAAACTCATTAAGTTCCTAGATGGGAGAGATGACCAGAACATTAGTGAATAGGATTATAATTCCCCCAGCCCTTGCTAAATTAGCAAAACTGTCAGAGTCAAGTATGTTCACTGGGACAGGCAGAGAAAATGGAGCTGCCCGGAGGCAAGCTGAGTCGAAGCAAGATGTTGGGGAAATGGACTGAAAAGGATGTGAATGCAGAAATAGACTCCTAGTGGGAACTGAACTATCCATGGTGTCCACTGAGGACTGCACCTCTGAAAATATATGCAGGTCCCCATTCTATACAGTATGAAAGAAGAAAGCATCCCCACAGGGTTTCCAAGAAGGCCAGGGAGTCTTCCTTTATCTCTACTATTTAGCTTCATATTCCTGGGTCCAGTTCATTTGCCTGGTTTTAGGTTCATCTCATTATCCTATTTTAGTTTACCTTATTACAAACTACACTGATTCAGACATTAAAGGTCAGTCATTGCCAGAACATATCATCATAGCCTCCTGCAGAATGGCCTCTTTCTCCTTGATTATTTCTGCTCTTTCTTGTTGTTGTTTGAAACAAGGTCTCACTATGTAGCTCTGGCTGGCCTGGAACTCTCTATATAGACCAGGCTAGCCTAGAAATCACAGAGATCTGCCTTTGAGTGCTGGGTTAAAGGCAGGTACTACTTTGGCTCTTGTTCAACCCTTCCAACTAAACTTCTACTATGAGAAACTTAATAGATGACTCCTAAACACATATGGTTCTAATCCTAAAAAGAAAAACTGAATTAAGTGGAATCTCAGGCTGATAATGCTATAGCCAGAGTTTACAAATGTCTCCTGTTAAGGGGCAAAGAGCCCAGACTTGGGTCTTTGTTGCAGCTACTCAATGCTGATTCCATGGTGTAGAGTGTTCCAATAAAACATGAGTGAGCAAAGTGGGTCTGGTTTTCGATTGGATCAAGGTTTCCAAACTTCTGCTAGATTCAATTTTGGAATCTTAAACTCTCAGAGTCTTGTCAGTCATCTTGTTCAACTAGTTCATTTTGTATGTGCAAAAACATGGACCTAGAAAATATGAAGATTTTCATGCAACTTCATAAGTCATTTAAGGCTGTATTAAAACATTCCAACATTCCAGTGGTGGTGGTGGTTCGTGACTTTAATCCCAGTACTCGGGAGGCAGAGGCAGGGCAATCTCTGTGAGTTCAAGGCCAGCCTGGTCTATATAGTGAGTTTCAGGACAGGCAGAGCTACATAATGAAACCCTGTCTAGAAAAACAAAAACAAAAACTGAAATCTTTGAACTAGAAAAAGGTATCTCAACTCCTAGGCCAATGCTCCTTACTCTAACCATCATCAGGCTTTACCAGAAAGTTCTGAGGATCCCTGCTTATCTCTGAGGTAGCAGAACCTATTTGGGAAGTCTTACCTTAATGTCTGCTACCATGTCTTAGTACAATACATAATGCATGGTTCAAGTGGCAACCTTCACTAGGCAGGGTCCAGCCAAGCATGTGATAAAGACTTGTGGTGGGACTTTCTCTATCCTGCAAACTTCAGGTTTCCAGATAAGCAGAGAGACAGCCTCAAACAGTTTAGAAAGGATAGTTTTTTTTTTTTCACTGAGTTCAAAGGGTGTACTTGTTTGGTTTAACTGAAGTTAAGGTTGCATTAACATCTTCACATGCCAAAGGAATCATCTAGGGAGAAGTTGTTCTTCATCTCTTGTACAAATGGAAGGAGCAAGACTGGGTTGTAGATCAGGGCAAACTTCCAGAGGTCTCTGCTTGAAAGAACTTGAGGTCAGCAAAGGCAATAGAATCCCCGTGGTAATCAAATCCAAAAGGGGCGTCTTCTGGGCCCTGCTGGACACAGACCAAAGGTGGTAACTATAAATGGAGTTCTTAATTTGTCTAGGTAATAAAAACCTGAAGTCAGATATAAAGGAAAATGCTGAGCACTCAGAGAGAAGAGGGAGCAAGCCACCGCCACACCTTACCTCCTTAGCTGCAGCTCAGACCCCTGTCCTGAGGCAAGAGGGCACTCTGTGTCATTACAACTAATGAAAACAGAATGGTTTCTTTCAGAGTGTTATGAAGTGGCAAACACAAAGTGGGTGCTCATATTGGGCAATGTATTTGTTCAGATTTCATGGGAGACTCCCCAGTGACACTCCCTCCCATTGCTGATCATCTGTAGAAATGTATGAGAAATATGTGTCTTGGGGGCAGAAGCTGGTAGTGAATTTCAAGGGTATATGCAGACATGCCTGATGCAGCCTCAGAAGAAGCCAAGAGGATCCTGGGATTTGTTTCTACGATGCTGAAAACCAAGCACAGGGTCTGTCTTAACGCAAGTACTGTAACTCAGAGCTAAGCTCCCAGCTGCAAGGTCTGGAAGTTCCTAACGAGGATGGTGGTTGCTTAGAAATTTGAAGACTCAGTAGCTTAGGCCTATTCTTCCTTGAAAGTTCAGGGCCAAGGTTTTTTTTGTTTTGTTTTGTTTTGTTTTTATGTTTTTTATGTTAAGTCTCATTTTACTACCTTTGATAAAGATAAATTGCAGTGTGCTTTATGTAACTAATTAAAATGGTGCGATCTGTTCAAATATCATTTCTGGGCAGTACATTTCATAAAATGTACCTTGGAAGATTAGCTGCCTCCAACCAAAACTTTTCCAAAGTCCATTTTTTCCAAATACCAAACTCCCAGCGATCATAATTTTTCATTATTGTGATTTCTTTCCCCAGATGATCCAGGAGTCTGTACCTCATGCGCTGCAGGATATTACATGTAAGTCTGGCCCTCTTTGTTCTTGACATTAACTTTTCTGCAGTTTAAGCATTACTGACTTAATCCTAACTCCAGTGATTAAAGCACAAGGGCCCTGCAGCCTGAAGCAACTGTCCTGTGGGCTATTAATGACTGAGTGTTGGATTTGGTGGTAAAAGTCCAGATGTTTTCTTGCCTTGAAAGCAAGCCTTCCCTTTCTTGATCCTGGAAGTCATCCATCATCACACTGGTGTCTAGGAATCTTGCCATGGGTCACCAACATTCAGATCTTGCTTTTTATGGACAGCTTTAAGAATATATTTGCCTTCAAGAAAGCTGCTTCTCAATGTCTGTGTGGGGACTTTGTGCCAAGGGAAGCCAGGTGAGATACTTACCTCTTAATTGCCCCCTGGGTGATGAGAGACAGGGACCGAGAGCTAAAGCAAACTGCAGATAAGCATCAGACTAACATTCTCCCTTACCAGTCTATAAAAGCCAAGTCTGCATGTTTCAACGTCACCTCCTTTCCTAGCTGCTCTCCCCTCCGGCTTGTATCACTGTGCTTGGAGGAAACCAAGACAAACAGAAAAATGAAAGGGAAAGAGAAGCCAGAATAACACACAGGCTGTGTGGGTCCTGCTCGACCTCCCACAGCTCACACATCCACTCTTCATCTTTCACCGAGCGCATCAGAATCGTGAGGTCTCCATCGTGTCCAGGAGACAGAAAAAGAAGAGAGAGAGAGGCTCTGGTGCCCCTTCCCCCTGCACCACAAACCAGTGGCAAACCTATATCTCCACTTTTGTGGATCACCACCTTCTCTAGCCATATTATCTCCCCTTGGCAGATTCTAGGATCTCAGAACATGCTAATCCTTCGACACCCCCACACACACCCAGCTTTAAAAAGTTCTTAATCTGGAAGCATCTTCAGGTTTTGGAGGGGGATTAGAGATGTTACTTTATTTTGCTTTATGTGTATGAGTGTTTTGCTTGTACACACTTGTATATATGTGCATCACATGAGGAAGTAAGTAGGCATAGGATCCCTTGGAACTGAAGTAATAAGTAGTTGCGAGCTGCCATGTGGGTGCTGAAAACCAAACTCAGATCCTCTCTAAGGGCATCTAGTATTCTTAACTGCTAAGCCAGCTCCCCAGTTCCTATACTTAGTCTTCTGCTTGCAATCTAGCTTCTCTAGAATGGCTCATCACTACAGTGACTATGTTGTCATATCATTCCTAACTCATTCATGTGGGTTTTTTTTTTTTATTTCAGAGAGCAGGAAAGCTAAGGGTGCAATTCAGTGGGAGGCACTTGCCTTGATTCTACAAGGCCCTGAATTTGACCCTCAGGACTATAAAAGAACACATTAAAAAACAGAGGGATGATGAAGAAGCCCCAAGTTGATGATTATAAGACAAAACTGAATGATATTTAATGAGTAGAAGATAACTGACAACATATCAAGTATAATAGCTAGAGCCAAGGGTAACAGCAAAGATGAACCACAGACATGCAGGAGTTTCTTAGTGAAGTCACATGGGAGGGACACACAATGCTCCATGAATAACTGGAGAAAAAGAATTTAATCTTATTCTCTCTCTCTCTCTCTCTCTCTCTCTCTCTCTCTCTCTCTATCTCTCTCCCTCCTTCTCTCTCTCTCTCCCCCTCTCTCTACACTAACACACACACACACACACACACACACACACACACACACACACGTGTCCCTCCAATCCAACTCTGTCCAGGTCAACTGAGTCTTCAATTTGAACCCTGCACAAATGCCTTCCCTACACCTGCTTCCTCTCCCACTCCCATGACACAAGACACTCACCAGATCACAAATGAGTGTGTTTCATAAAACCTTCTGAGAAAGAAATAGTCTGAAATAGCATGCCCTATAGCACTAAGACACAGCCTGAGATAACTGTTTCAAGAAACACACGTTTACGACATTTCAGACTATTTAGCACTGTTGAATAGTTGATGAAGTGCTGTACAATACAAGCTGTTAAGAAGGAATGCAAACATTTTCCCGGGTGTCTTACTGAAACTTTGAAATCCTCCAAAGAACAAGAGTCAGCTTCACATCCCTCCAAGTGAGTTACAATATCTTGCTGTATAGTGAGCACAGCGAGTAATTTAGCAAGGGTCCATATGTGTACATGCATAGGGATGCGTTTGCATGTCTCATGTCAAGGCACTTCCCTGTTACTAATGATCTGGCCACAGACATTCTAGTGAGTTGCTTGAACTCAACATTGGGCCACCTCTGACTTTCTAAGAGAACTGTATAAGCTATCAATTCCCACAAACTTCACGTGGCCCTACCATTAAGGAGATGCTGGACACTGGAGGCTTGAACACTGTTTCCTATATGTAAACATTAAAAATTAGTAATGACTTCCCTGGGGGATTTGTGCACAGGTTTGAATGAACGGATACTTAACATCGAGCACTAAATAAATCAGTCTCAGTGACTCTACCCTCCCCAGCCTCCTCCAAGCTCCCCAGATAAAGGGATCCTCAGGGGTCAAGAGGAGGTTCCAAATGATTTGATTTGATTGGCAGGACAGACCAAGTGCAGGTTTCTGTCCTTGACAACCAATCGCCTGTTCACCATGCTACAGATAAATGAGCATGAGGAGATCAAACAGTGATGATTCCTAGCACAACACAGCCCGTCTCATGGAAACATGACATCATCTTCCCTAGGTTTGAGAGGCATTGTTATAAAGCCTGCCCTGAGAAGACCTTCAGTACACAATGGGAATGCAGAGCCTGTGGCACTAACTGTGGCAACTGTGACCAGCATGAGTGCTATTGGTGTGAGGAGGGCTTCTTTCTCTCGGGTAAGCTGGACAATGGTGACCCCGGGAAGAAAAGGCTGTGGGGGCCCAGCAGGCCATGGCTGCAATAGGAGAGGTCCTGTGATGGATTTCAGGGTCTTTGTGTGCTGGCGCCAATGGTCCACGGAGGAATTTTAATGTGGTTTGAAAATAAACACTAGCCTGAACTACTTCCTTTTGCATTTAGTATTGAAGTGTAGTTCACATTTCACTAATTAATCTCAAGTATCTGATGTTGAATAGAAAAAGCAGGTACCGATATGGAGAGGAGACCTGGAAATAATTGCTTTAGAACTCAAGTCCCCTGGGCTAGTCTATTCAGAGGCACAGTCCTTTTCTTGAGGTGATAACCTCATGTTTTCAAAAAAACATATTACACACTCATGTCCACTATATAATTGAACAAGATCCTTTGTCTTAGGTTTTGGTCAACTCATTGACTTTGTTGGAAATCTATAGTTGGGAAAGAATTTTACTATGAGTCTTCCAAGTGGGATCAGGATAACCCAGTGATCTTGGGTATTGAGAATGGAGAAACTGCCGACAACACTCAGTGAGTCGGTGGTTCATGTTTTCTCCCTCTCTGCCCCCACCCTCCCGTATGTGTCTACACTTGTGCATGAACATGTTTAAGGCATGTTTGTGGAGGTCAGAGGACAACCCTGGGTTGCTTCCATCTTTTGTTTGAGACAGGCCCTTTCATTGGCCTGGAACTTTGCCGTGTGGGCTAGATTAACTGGCCAATGAACTACCAAGGATCTACCTGTCTCCGCCCCCATCTCTCCATCACTAGTATTACAGGGGGCCCCACCATATCCATAGTGCCTAACTTAAATGTAGGTTTATGAATCTGAACTCAGGTCCTCATGCTTGCAAGACAACCACTTTACTGCATAAGCCATTTCCCAGCCTCTCAGCACTTCTCCATCCTCTCTCTCTCTCTCTCTCTCTCTCTCTCTCTCTCTCTCTCTCTCTGAGGCAGGCTCTATGCAATCCTGGCTGTCCCAGAACTTGCTATGTAGACCAGGCTGGTCACAAACTCCCAGAAATCCTCCATCCTCTGCTTCCCAAGTGGTAGGATTAAAGGCATGTGCCTCAATAGTTCTCTCATAGGCTCATTTTATGTGTGTTTATTGTCTTGGAGGTGTTAAAAAATCTTTATTCAATGTTCCTTGCTCTTAGCTGATGGCAAATTCATACTTAAGTTTAAAAGAAAAATGCATATTGCATGTATTAGAACATACTCTTTGATTAAAATAGCCATCTTGGTTTGCACACATGCAAAAGGAAGAAAGAAAGAAAGAAAGAAAGAAAGAAAGAAAGAAAGAAAGAAAGAAAGAAAGAAAGAAAGGAAGGAAGGAAGGAAGGAAGGAAGGAAGGAAGGAAGGAAGAAAGAAAGAAAGAAAAGAGTCCTGAAAGTCCAATATCTGCCCTTGCATAGTGCTAAAAGTCAGAGTCTCTCCTTCATGCTTTTTCCCTGATCTTCCAAAGGTGGCAGCTGTGTGCAGGATTGTGGCCCTGGCTTCTATGGAAACCAAGAATTGGGAGAGTGTAAGCCCTGTCATCGAGCCTGTGAGACTTGCACCGGTTTGGGTTACAACCAATGCAGCAGCTGTCAGAAAGGGTTGCAGCTGTGGCATGGGGCATGTATCTGGCCCACCTGGCCCCGAGGAGGGGAAGGCAAGTTCTGGAATGGTATGTACCTGGTAGAGAGAGGCCCCATTCCTCCTCTACCTTTCTCCCTCTTCAGCATTGTTTCTGAGACACGTGTTTTGAGGGAAAATCACATGCTCCCAGACCACCAAGTCAACCAGTAGCTCAGGCTTCTTACTAGCTAACTCTTATGCTTAAATTAACCCATAATTTTTATCTATGCTTTGCTAAGTGGCTTGGTACAAAGTGCCCATCTTGCTCTCTCTGACTCTGCCCCTCTTCATCCCAGTATCCTGTTTGATTGCCCCACCTAACTTTATCCTGCCTTGCTACAGGCCATTCAACTTCTTTATTAACCAATGGAAGTAATACATATTCACAGTGAACAGAAGGATCATTTTGCAGCATCAGGGAGCTTGTGGAGCACAAAGGTAGGAAGCTGAAGTAGGCAAGGGCAAAGCAGAGGACAAGATATGACTGATCTAGAGGCGGGAGGGCTACTAAGAATGACGTGCAGTGTGACCTAACTCCCATCTTCTCAAAGGCTCCAGTACAGCTTCTACCGTGCACATGTGTCTCTACAAAAAGGAAACCTTTAACCTCAGGGCGGCCTTCTCAGTGACCCTGACACATTGGAACTGATGCTAAGCAGACAAGCTTGTTGGAGCACTGGCACTAGCGTTTTGAAAGCTTCTCTCCCTTTCTGCAATGGGGGCACATAACTCAGTGGTCCAGCACTTGCCTAGTGTGCATGGGGCCCTGGATTTGATGCCCAGCATGGGTAGATGGGGAGGGGTGCTGCACTCTGCCGTTGCACATGGGGAAAGCCTGGTCTTCAAGGAGGTGTCAGGGAGGAAGGAGAAATGTGAGAGCTGGGACTGGAAGGACCCGAAGGTATTCACCTGCCTCGGCACCTTTAGACTTGACCTCTCCACCTTTGCAGCCCCACTATGGGCTTCCTTCCAGGTAATTATAATCGTTCTATGATAACTCCATGTCTGAGAAGGCTAAAACCCAAGTCCTTTTTAGGCTAGGAGTCTGACTCACATTCTGCTATGCTATAAAAAAATGAAGGTGTTTTCATATCTCGGGGCAAGGGTCCACACAGTACAGAGACAGTGACAGCTGTAGGAGGCCACACAAGGCAAGGAGGAAGGTCCCCTACTAGTTTCAGAAGAAGGGTGTCATAGCTGCTGTCCACTGTGACACTTCTGCACATCTGATTTTCCTAAGACAACAACCAAAGGCCAGAGGACCCTAGGCTGTCCGACAGAGGGCTAAGAAAGTTACTCAATCCAGATTGGGATATCTTCTGTGAATTATAGCTGAACCAAAAATGCTGAAAATGAGTTGGTCTGGCATTTGGGCTTTAAGAAGCAGTACAAAGCCAAGAGGGAAACAGTCTGGTGCTGTGCTTCTTGCCCCAACATCTGTATTTTATCTGGCGTCCAGATGATGAAAAGGTAAAGGGAGCCAAGAGTCAGAGCCGACTCGATTCCCCAAATGATTACATGTCTCTTCAACTGGACTACGCATTTTGCAAGCAAAAATCAGACTTTGATTGTTCCCCTTTGTCGGAGTGCCACACCCAGCCTGCCATCCTCCCCCCACCCCCCACACTAGCAAGGGAGTTTGGGAGCCAATGAGAATGTTTCTCGTGGCTGGACAAAAGCAATAAAGTTGAATGACATAGCTGCACTTTCCATTTCTGTGACCTATGAAATAAGACATGCAGAGCATTAGCAAAGAGCAGGGATGTTTGCTCACTAAGCAAGGTAAAGCCACAGTGCACCTTCCCTGCACAGCTGAAGCACCAAGAGGGCGAGCAAATGGGAAATGCAGCCCTTTAAGAGTGGGGAGGATTGGCACCAATGCCTCCATCTCTCCTGCCTTCCTCCCCTAGAAACAAGGTCAGGAGTGTAACAGGAGAGGGGAGAGAGTTCCAGAGAGCAAGCACTAATTAGCCACACCTCTCAGATGATGAGGAACAGATTTCAGTCATCCTAGGTCAGTCTCGTGGGAGCCTTGACCAAACCACGGGGTGTTTACAAGAAAATGTAGCTGCCTAGGTGGCATCAGCCAGGGCTTCAGTCTCATTTGGGCTTTTAAAAAACAGATTCAGATGCAGGTAGAATACTAGGATGGCCTGAGCTTCAGCCCACTCCTTCTCCGACACTCCTTCCAACAAAAACAACATGACCATGTTCAGATCCAAAGGTCATGCCCAAGGAGTGAGCATAGGTCTGTGTGTGTTTGGGGAAGTCACCTTGAGACCAAATGACACTGTGTTCACGTAACTCTTTTCTTAGCACTGTGGCTAAACAAGATGACAATGACAGCAGTGAGAGATCCCTCATTCTTTGCCACTCTCCCCAGAGTGATTCCCTTCTCCCCAGAGTCCAAGGGTAGAGAGATCACCACATACCCTGAGTCTCAAGGATGGCGGCTCTACTATGTTTTCTAGCCATCAGAAAAGTCACAGGAAGGCCCTTGATCCCACTCACTAACACTAACACTTAGGCCAATGTTTCTAAATGACAGAAATACTTACTGAACAGGTGACTTGCATGTAGCGCTGTTAAAATGTCCAAAGGCATCAGGACATCAGATTGCAGAGGCATAGCTTTACCAGGCTTGGGAATGGAAACAGTTTCCCTGCCGCTGTTAAAGCATTTTGCTCTACTGGAGCGTTTCCCCCTCTGGTAGTCTCAGAAAGTTCCTGCAAACAGGCCTGAGAGTCCCCCAGCCCACCGATTTCCCTCATTGATTAGAACCAGGTCAAATCAGGCTCTAATTACAGATTGGGACAAAGGACTAATCTACAAAGCACAAGCTTGGTGAACAAACGTTTTTATCTTTGACCACATCCTAACTCACCACTAGCTGCTCTTTTGATCTTAATTCCTTAGCTCTGGGAAACACTGGAGTCCATGAATTTGTGGGAGGAAAGTCAACATCTTCATGGAGAAGTAAATGTTGTGTAATAGTAACTGCAGGTGACTTTGAAGATGCCACAGATTCCTAGAAGGGATTTGTTGCCCTCATCTAGGAAGGATGGCAGCATTTTAGTTACTTAACCAATAGGAAAGCCAAAGAGCAAATGCTCCTGTGAGATAATCAGACCCCTGTCACAGTGCTACAAAGGGACCACTGTACTGGCTTGTGCTAACTGTTAAGCATCCAGGAATTGTGTATCACCAGGCCATTGACAGCCTAAAATTAGCTATGGCAGAAATGTTTACACGACAGGAATTGGCAACACTATACATCAGCATTGTCGCACCAGCAGAACACTATTTTGATCTCTCTCAAATGACTTTAAAATTGAAATTAATTGCTCAAGAACATTTCTAGTGGACATGGGCTTTCATGATAGGCAGACCTGGAAACTTCCAGTGTGACTGAATGGTAGAACAGTTGCCTCCTGTTCATGAGATCCTGGGCTGGATCCAAGCGCTGCAAACAGGTAACAGTAAAAATAACCACAGTAAGAGCAATAACTCTAGAGTCGTGCATTCAAATCCTGGCCTGGCTGTTCACAGCATGGTAACCCTGAGTTTGTTCTTTATCCTCTCTGAACCTCAGTTCCCTCATCTGTAAAATGAGAGCACGAAACCACTACACACATCATCTTTGACCTGAGAAACCATTTACATCCCACAGAGCATTGAGAGCCCTGTCTCCTGACCTTTTGACCTACACATAGAAACCTGGGCACAAAAGAAAGCAATTGGTGGCTGGAGGAGGAAGCACTAAAGAATAGTATTGGTCTAGAAAAACATAGTCCCAGAGAGCAGGCATTAACAGACAAGTCGGGACGCCTCGCACAGCCAGAGTCTTGACCGGCCACAAGTGCATTCCCTCAAAGATGTGCACACAGCTTCATGACAGTAAGAACCACAACAGATATGTGGGGCCAAGCAATCTACAAATGTAACCCAGAAAATGAAATATGATTCATACAAATACATATGCAAAACATTTTCGAAAGATGCCTTCAGAGAAGAGACATTTATAATATTATAGTATTGAATGGCACACGCAGGCTCCGTGTCCTATATGTAGAGGGTGTAAATGATTTCATTCTACAAGTCCTTCCACCTTGCATTTCTCTGGGTGGATCTGGATGTCAAAGAATACACAGCAGCTATTTCTGGGAGGTGGGGGCGTAGGTGAAGCTTATCTTCTTCCTGGTCCTTTCTGTCATTAAAACACTTTATTTTTTTAATAAAAAGAAGCTGTGCCCACTGAAAACCCATCTTTGGTGAAGAACCTGCTGCAGAAACAACGAAAGTGGAAAATTCAAATCAAAAGAGGTAACAGGGAAATAGGGAGAAGGTCACCGCCCATAGCCATCTCTACTCTACAGAAAGCAACCCCAGCAGCCAGAAGGCCAGGACAATGGGGACATGGATGTCATGACAGAGGAGAAAGGAGGGTCATAAGAAATCAGTGGGCACTTGGGGGATCTGTGCATCCAACAACAGAGGTTCCCAACACATCCAAAGACGTTCTTGATGCACTGAGGACTCTGCCTGGGAAAGACAAGGAAAAGAGACATATGGCCGGACAGGGAGCTCAGCAATAGGGCACTGCCTAGCAGCCATGAGCCCCTGGGCTCCAGCACCAGGCTCCATCCCTGCAAATCTTTAATTGGCTAAAGAAGCAACACATACCTTCCTGGTCACTGTGGTATCCTTTGAAATAGCAAAGCCTGAAAGACTAAATGGCTATGATAAAAGAGATGGAGGTGATGCATCCGAAGAGTAAAATACTATAGAGCTGTCAAAAGGAACAAGGAGTTTCCTAACCTGTCAGCAAAGCCTGCTCTCCAAAAGATGAGTTTTAAAAGAGAAAGGCAAGCCAAGCTTTATGGATTATGTCTGTAACCCAGGTACTTAGGAGGCTGGGGTGGTAGGCATACAAGTTCAGGGCCAGCCTGGGCTACATAGTAGGACCCTATTTTTAAAAAAAAGTCATAAAAGCAAACTCCACAATACAAAGTGATAGTCAGTGTGAATAGATTTGGTATCCACATATAGAACCATACGGACTATTAATTATTTAATATGAGAATAAGGACCCTGGTTTTCTTCAGTTGCCTGGGACTAACGGGTACCACTTTTTGGTTAGAGAGATTTCTTTCCCTTCCATTCTTTTCTCTTTTTCATCAGTGTTAACAAGGTTAGAATTTCTGGAGTGGGGTAAAAATGGGAACCTGATATACTCATTGTGACTGTAGCAAATCTCCTGGATGCTGCTGTTGCTCAATTACTGTGAACTGCGTGTTCAGAGCTCCCTCTGGTGGACAAAAGGGGACATTGCCAAATTCTGTAACAAGTTTATGAAGGAAAATTGCCAGAATGTTAAATACATATAATTACAAATATATATGTATGTGTGTGTGTGGATATCCACTGATTTCACAAATACATAGAAAAATAAAACCCATATTTTTGTGAATAAGACTCTTTAGTATAAAATGAGAAAGTCCACAGCAAATCAGCCTGTGGCCAGACACAGCATAGTTTTGCAGGTCTCGGGGATGAATGTCACCCGGAGCATCCCAGCATGCTGCTGCCTTCCTTCTGCCTCTTCTTATGGTCAAGTGCTGTCTCCAGGTGAAAAGGCCTCAGCGCCAGAAGAAGCCTGTGGACTTTCGTGACAACTGCTGTTGCTCATCAGTGTGGCAGCTTGGGCAGTCATTTAGACACACGTGCATTATGCATGTATATGCATGCTGCTGTGTGCATTACATGTGCATACTACCCGTGTGTATTCACATCAATCATATCTCTCTACCTATCTGTACTCCACCCTAGTCTTGTCCCCAGCAAGGCTCAGCGGCTTTATAATCAGTCATAAGTGACACCATAGAAACCAGGCATGTCCCCCACTTCCCTACCCTCCACCCTCCACCGTATCTGTCCCAGTGTGGATTAAGAAAATAAGAAAGCCAGATGGTGGTGACACACACCTTTAATCCCAGCAATCGGGAAGCAGAGACAGGCAGATCTCTGTGAGTTCGAGGCCAGCCTGATCTACAGAGTGAGTTCCAGGACAGGCTCCAAAGCTTCAGAGAAACTGTCTCGAAAAAACAAAATAAAAACAAGAAGAAGGAAGAAAAGGATTTGAAGAAAGGAAGGAAAGAAACAAAGAAAGAGAGAAAGGAAGGAAGAAAGGAAGGAAGGAAGGAAGGAAGGAAGGAAGAAAGAAAGAAAGAAAGAAAGAAAGAAAGAAAGAAAGAAAGAAAGAAATTAAAGCAGCCTCAGACAAAGGGTGGAAGAACAATTGAAGAAAAGGAAAGGGAGAAAGGAGAGAGTGGATGTCTGTTACTGAGTCACCGAGCTAAGCACTTCACATACACTGTCTGAACTGAACCACTGTGTTAAATAAATACTTCATGCACAGTCTCGATGAGCCACTGTGTTTTAAGTAAGTACTTCCCACACTGCCAGCCTTGAGCAGGACACACTGTCTCACTGAGCTTCACAGTTCAAGGGAGGAACCATTTTCTCTCATTTTAGAGACGTGGAAAGTAGGGCTGAGACTTTAGTTACTGTATCCATGGTTACCCTACTGGTAAGCGGCACTGCTGGGATCTGATGACTGGTGTGAGTAGAGAGCCATGTAGCAGACTCCTAGGAAGAGGAGAAGGTCTCAGTGTATACTGAGTAGGGTGAATGGGGATGCCAGTGTGTTATGAGAAAGTGTCCCAGGAACTTTCTGAGGTGGCTTCCTGGAAATGCTTGCCTTCAGATGCCCTCAGAGGGAGAGTGCAAACACACGAGCATAAGGACATTCACCTACACATGTGAAAACGGCATGAGTTGTTAAATCATCGTGTTATGACTCTCCTGTAAGATACACACTTTCTGTCACTGAATGGCTGCAAGGGAAATCTTGATAATCAGTGTCCAAAGGAAGAGTTTTTAAAAAGAATGCATGAATTCTACATCTTAGCAGTGGGTAGTAGACAGTGGTCAGCTAGTGTAAAATTGAAAAGAGGAGCCAAGTTACGGCTAGGCCTCCTCCAGTACTGTGACACACTATGCGACAGGCCAGGTCTGACTTGTTTCTTGCCCACACAGATGCAACAAAGCAAGATCAACCTTGCCACTCTTCTTGTAAGAGCTGCAATGGATCTGCAATTCTCTGCACTTCGTGTCCAACAGGTAGGTCAGTGGGGGGGGGGTGATGGAATCTGAAGCCACGCACCATCATCAGGCCTGCACATTGGTAGAGGTTTCAAATACATGGTATTATTGATCTAGTCCCACCATAGCCTCCCTTCACACAGGCTTCTGGGAGCACACCCAGCAAACCAGTGACCTGTAATAAAAATAGGCCTCCGGAACAAAGAAATTCTTCTTGCTCCAAAGGCATGGTGAAGTCTTGGGTTGTCTTGGCCACAGAATTTTCTGGAATCTGTGGGTACTTCAGTTTTAGAGTTCCTTGTTCCTTTATCCAAGATAAGTAAAGTTAAGGCTGAGGATAAGTGTGAGGATGAACAAACTGTGGTCTCCTTCATCACTGATTCTGCATTTAGTGCTAAGAAGGGAGGGAAAGGGCAGCAACAGAATAGGTCATTTCCTAAATTGTACTTTATTTATACAAACACTGGGCATCCACATTGGGTGGCTCCCAACCACCTGCTGGGAAGAAAGGAGCGCCTATCCTTTCTCATGCCTCACTATTGCCGCTCGGCTCTTTATTAGGATCACCAGGTGTTTTAGACAGACACAGTAACACAGCTTCACAGAGTTAACCAAATGCATCATAAACAAAAGTCACACACCTTAAAATAATATTCTACCACACATATACGCACATACACAGGTACATAATTAAAAATAAAATTGAAAGTACTTCTTTAAAAATTATCATTAGAAGAACCGTGTATGAATGTACAATGTTATTAATACCATCCACCCTTTATTCTCTGGCAATGTGTTTCAGTAACGTCAATAACTATCTGAAACCACAATAGAACCAAGTCTTGTGTGGACCATTTTCCCTATACATACTTCCTGTGATAAACTTGAATTTACAAATCAGACACAAGAAAAGAATAACAATAATCAATGATAAAACGGAGAACCACAACAATACACTTTAACAGTTTTTATGCCTTTGAGACCTTTCCTTCTACAGCTTTGACTTAGTGTTCCAGACCTGAGCTGACCTCAAGCAACTGAGACTTAGGTTGAAGCCCTGAATCAGGGAATGTGGTAGGGAGATCTCACACAAAACAGCATTCAAAACGGTCGATGCATGAAGGCTGGAAGTACATTAAGTGGCTACACCCAGAAACTGAAACAAGATGCTTTAGAATTTTAGTTGAGATGGCTTTAATTTTTCTTATTATTTTTACAGTATCCCTGTATTTATTTATTGAAACCACCTTACTTTGTGACTCCAGTTGGCTTAGAGCTCACAATGTAGCAAAGACTGGCCTCAAACTCACAGAGATCTGTATGTCTCCACCTCCCAAGTGCTGGGATTAAAGTAATGCACCACCACACATCTGGCCCTATTTGTTTATCCTTTATATCATTTATTTATTTTGTAGGGTGTGTGTGTGTGTTGTGCACCAGTCCACATATGTGCACATGTGTGGACATATACGTGGAAGCTAGAGATCAAATTTGGGTGGTGTTCCTCAAGATGACCTTCCAAGTTGGTGTTTTGTTTTGTTTTGTTTTGTTTTGTTTTGTTTTGTTTTGTTTTGTTTCAGACAGGTCTCTCTTTGGCTTGGGGATCACCAATTCAGCTAAGCTGGTTAGCTGGTCAATGAGCACAGCATCTTCCTTTTTCTATGTCCCTAGTCCTGGGATTACAAGTACTCATGACTGTCCCCAGCTTTTGATGTGGGTTCTAGGGCCCAAACTCACATTCTCACCTTTGCGTGTTAAGCATTTTACTGAGATCTCATGAACATCTTAGTTTTTAAACAATTATTACATTTATTTATTTATGAGTGTGAGTGTAAATATTCCACAGCATACATGTGGGGGTCAGATGACAACTTGCAGGAGTTGGTTCTCTCCTTCAGCCATGTGGTTCCCAGGGCTTAAGTTCAGTTAATAAGGTCTTGCAGCAAGCACCTTTACCTGCTGAACCATCCTACCAGCCCACATTTGGTTTTGAGAATAACAATACCTTCCTTTCCAATTAACCACACATAGAAATGGATGGAGCGTGTGCTGAAGTGGAAGATGTCTGGAAATTTTGCTGCCACTTCAGTCTCGTCCATCACAGATGGGGAGGAGACAGAAAAGGGGACCGCATGGAGCAGCTCCCATGTGGCTATCTAGATGACAGGACAAAGGGAAGTCCTGTGGTCACTGGGATCTGATGTCAGACTGTAAAAAAGAAGCAGCGCAAAGTCCCTTGTGGCCCATTTCCTTCTCAGAGATCTAACTAATCTAATGGACTAATAAAAGTAAATAAATAAATACTTTATAAGCCTGAAATACTGTTCCAAATACCTGAACTTTGAAAAAGCTAGTGTGTGTGTGTGTGTGTGTGTGTGTGTGTGTGTGTGTGTGTGTGTGTGTGTGTCTTCTATGGGTGACAATCCTCTGGATAACATGTGTGATATCAGGACTGACCATGACAGCTGTACTCTGTCCTCCTGCCCTGATTTTTAGGTACATACCTATGGCTGCACACCTGTGTTTCTTCCTGTCCCCAAGGCACTTGGCTCTCAGTCAGGAGTGGCAGCTGTGAGAACTGTATGGAGGACTGTGCCTCTTGCTCTGGAGCCGACCTTTGCCAAAGGTGCCAAAGTCAGCCGGACAACCCTCTGCTCCTCCATGAGGGCAGGTGCTACCATCAATGCCCAGAGTAAGTGTCCCTGCAGTACCTCAGAGCATCTCCTTCCTCTTCAGAGAACTCTCTGCACAGTCAGAGCACCCACATAAATGACATTTGTTTGACTGTGACATCACTGTGGGCCCACAGTGGCCAAGACTTACAAGAGGCCAGATGCCCACTTCTCCCTTTTATTTGTCAACACATGTATTCTTATTTCTGTGACGATAGTCATGTGACCTGCATTGCACAGGCACGGAGGATGTGTTCTTAGGAAAGCATCATTAGGCAATCTCATCACTGGGTGAGTGGCACACCGTTCTTACACAAACCTGGATAGTGCAGCCAGAGTCTATGTGGTATGGGCTGTCACACACAGGGCTCTGCATTGACCAAAACGTGTTTCTGTGGAGCCTGGCTATTCTTTTCCCAGCTTGTATCAATAACTGAATTTTCTAGGATCTCTTCTGCATCATGAATGCAGTTGTGATATGAGCCTCTTCTAAACTTTCAAGCAAATGAGTTCTGAATTATAAGTAGTAATGGTAGCTACTTATGCATTGATTGCTATGGTTTTCTCAGCCCTCTAACTTAAAATCCCTTTAGTCACCTGTGAGGGAAGAGAACCACAGACCAGAGGTAACAAATTTAGCAAAACATAACAAAATCTGCACTGGGCCAAATGACAATCCTCTCACATGAAGGCTCACACTGGTGACATTGGTGGTACCAGGCTCACCAGAAGACCCCTATTTCCATTTTGTTCTTGTTCCTTCCTTGGCTGCCCTCCCTGGCTGACCCAGAAGAGCCTCAGTTTGCATTGTTTACCTCAGCTACAAGCAGCACCTCCCCATGTAGTGACAAGCAGCACAAGAGATGACTGTCCCCTCTCCTTCCCTCCCTCCTTTCCTCAGATTTCCTTCCAATGCCATCATCCAGGTGTATTACTTTCTAAACCTGTTTCTAACAAGGATGAAAATCTGTCATCTGCTCTTACCTTTGTAGCATTCCAAGTCCTCTTAATAATGCCTAAAACTGCATAGTGCTGAGACAGTGATGGCGCCCGCCTTTAATCCCAGCACTTGTGGTGGGGCAGAGGCAGGCAGATCTCTAGGATTTCAAGGCCAGCCTGTTCTACAGAGCAAGTTCCAGGACAACCAAGGTTTCATACACAGATAAACTGGGGCTGAATAAACCAAAATACTAAAAATTTAAAAAAAAAAAAGAGGACTGCAAAGTGCCAAACCCTAGGTGTAACTGATGCATTATTTTATAGCCATGATAAAGTTCAGTTTATAAATTAAGCATACTGAGAGGTTAATGAAATAAAGCTAATATAGCAGTATAATGTAATATGTTATATGGATGTGGTACTGTATTCATCCTTTGTTGTGTGACACTTTCCTGGAGAGACATAAACATGTGCTTACCCCAAATGGGGAACCAATGACAGACAAAAATATAACACTACAAAAGTCGAATTTGGCAAATGAGGTTACTTGCAGGAGTATGGGTGAGGGGTTACTTACAGGAGCAGGGACAACTCAGAGGAAGCTGCATTATCAAAACTCACTCCAGGATGAGTGACACTCATGAAACCTGGAACCCTGGAGCCCTCTGTACAACTTACAGGTGGGTAGGCAGGCTGGAGAGTCTTATTTCCTCAACAGGCCTTACTGTTTATATAGCTGAGGAGAGGGAAGGACCTTGTATGTCTAGTCAATTTCAGGGACTTCCTGAGACTTCTGAGTTGTTTGCTCCTGGATTTTATTGATTCTCCTTTCAAACCTCCTGAGTTAGTCTCAAGGAGCTTCCCATGGAGATAGAAAATGTCAGTTTGGAGTGAATTTCTTCTTGAGGGTGTTGCCTATCATTACCCTTCCAGATAAATGTTGTTTGAACATGTGCACTGTAAAACCAACCAACTGGATAACAAAACCATCTGTTTATGGACAAGTACACGTCACAACAAAGTGGATATGCTGCACAGAATGGGACCCTGCAGAATCCTTAGTCTAGTAGGTCAAGTTTATACCGATCAATGTCATACTCCTCCAGTATCAAAAACAAATTGGTATGACATCACCCCTCACACACCAGGGAGATGAAGAAATCCTTTAGAAACAGCCATAGTTTTTGATTACTTGTGATGTCTTAGCACAGCCACTGTGCTGAGAGTTTCAAACATACCATTCCATAAACTCTCACATGAATTCTGTTGTTTCCCCAGGAGTGGCACAGCTAGCAGTGCTCACATCATAAACAGAAGTGAGGGTTAGAGATGAACTTCCACAGTTACTGCTCCCTACTAGCCTCTGCCACCTTGGAATTGAACAGTTGTCATGGCTGTTCCTCATGTAGTTACTATTGCCTGTTCCCAACTCTTTCTTAGTGGATCTCTGTAAGTTTGAGGTCAGCCTGGTCTACACAGTGAGTTCCAGCACAGTCAGGGCTATACATTGAGGGACCTTGTCAATAATAATAATAATAATAATAATAATAATAATTAATAATAATAGTAATAATAATTACTAGTAGATAAAGTACTTTCTACATAAACAACAGGGCCTGAGTTTGATCCCCAGCACCCACATAAATGCCAGGTACTGTGACACACACCTATAATCTTGGTACTGAGGAGCAGAAACAGGAGAATCCTCAGAACCCTCCAGCCAGTCAGTCTAGCAAAAGTGATGAACCCCAGATTCAGAAATCAGGTGAGGAATGATGGAGGAAGGCTCCCAATGTCACTCATGATCTTCTACACATACATTTACACATGTGCCCAGGAGCACATACACATATACTATACTATATCCCACACAAATCAAATACAATATAAAAAATGAAACGTAGCCCTAGATCTCTTAAATGATAGACACCAAAAGCTGTTTTCTAGAGTCAGACATGGTTTTGAAATCTCTATTAATAGATATGTGTGTGTGCACATGCGTGCATGCATATTAAAGTATTTTCTATTGTAACGATCTGACAGAGAGGAAAATATAATGACAATTTGAGGATAAATAGGAAATCAGACAAATGACAACATTTTAGACAAATTCAATAGCTTTAAACAAACCAAATTCCCAAGGGAGATGCCTGCCCCTTTCATTTTATTTTTCTGGAACATTGTTTTCACAACCTTCCCTCAATGAGTCTTGTGGGTTCATTTTGATTGACAAGAGCAGCATCCTTTCCTTTTAATCTGAATCCCTTTGTCAGCAGCAGCAATCCATCTGTAATTGGTCTAATTGCAATCTTCCTTCTTTCTGTAGGGGCTTCTATGCAAAAGATGGTGTTTGTGAACACTGTAGCTCCCCTTGCAGAACATGTGAAGGCAATGCTACCAACTGTCACTCTTGTGAAGGAGACTTCGTGCTAGACCATGGGGTGTGCTGGGAAACTTGCCCTGAAAAGCATGTGGCTGTGGAAGGAGTCTGTAAGCACTGTCCAGAAATGTGCCAGGACTGCATCCATGAGAAAACTTGCAAAGGTACCTGGAAGCTTGCTGATGGAAAAGAATATTCTTTCTCTTGCACAAAGAAACACATGAACAAAATGAAAGGAATCTGCCCAGGCAATTTCTTTTCCTAAAAAGATTGTGCTATGACCAAACTGGTCTAGCAAGCACACCAAGTAGGAAATCTGATAGGTTTTTATCCTAATGTAGGAAAACTATGTCCTTTCCCCATTGGCTGGGGTCCCACCCAAGTCTTTCACAGTTGGCTAGTTTTAAAAGAATTTGTGGGAAAAAGTGAAAGAAGTTGAACAAGTGGTTAGCCTCTCTGGACCATCAAGTCTGTGGAATGTGGAAGAGGCATGGGGCAGCTCTTCATAACCCAAAGCTTTACTAGGTGGAGAAGATAAAATGATTTGAATTCCTTTGCATAAAAGTTTTACAGGGTGAGGGGGATCTGTGGAATATTGGCCCTTGGTAGACTAGTATCTTTGATAGAAAACCAAGAAAAAGCATTCTCACAATCCCAAGGGATCCTGGCCCTGAGGAGCCACTGGCTGGAGCCACTATCTGAGAACCAAAAGAATCAATCTCCACCTTCAGTGAAATTAACATCTGCTGGCCTATCATTGGGGAAGTGGAGGGTGCAATATACTCCTTCCCTTGTGGACTCTGTGAAATAAGACAAGCAAGTGTTCTTATAAATATGCTCGATTCTCACCTCAAAGGGAATAAGCAACATTTATTCTGGGGAAAACATGCATGACCATGGACTAGGAACACAAATTCAGGTTACTCTATATGGCATGTTCCAATGTGACAGGTTCATGATGTTTTCCTACTCAGAGCCAAAGGAAGTCATGAATCAAGGCTCTTCAAAAGCATTAGTGGTAACAGCGGGTAGGAGGGTTACAGCATGGTGAGGACATCTCTGCTATAGGCTTCACATACCACCGATGACAGTCATGGCTTTGGGGTTGTTAGATGTTAATGAGTTGTTCAGTTTACACATTCCAGAGGAATTTACCTGACAGTCGCACACAGAGGTGGGCAATGGATGGCTGTTAAGGAGCTAAAGAAAGCCTAAGATAATTTGATTATAGATCTACAACATTGCAACATTCCACAACAGCAAAGTCCTAATCAGTCAGCCAGGCTTCTAGACTCTTCAACACAGCTGTTGCATTTTTTTCTGAGAATTGTAGTTCATACATAATATTACCCAGGGCACTGATTTACAGATAAGATCCTCAAACCCCACTCTGAGTTCAAGGTCTCATAGGAGAGACTGACTCTGTCTCAAACATAAAAACAAAAGCACAGAAGTGATTAGAGAAAGAGTTATAAAGCTGTGGGAGAAAGGTGGATGGAGCAGAAGGTAAAGGCGGCCCCACCTTTGACCCCACATCATGGAAAGTGAGCGCCAACTCCTGCAAATTGACCTCTGACCTCCATACTTGCTCCAATGTGGGCACATCCCACATACATACACATACATACAACATACAATATAAATTTAAAGAATAAGTTTAGATGACTTTAAACTGAGGGACAATGCTATGGATTAAACAGATCTTTGGAACAAGCTCCCAAGAAAAGGAGTCTAGTCCTATCCGAAGGTTTCACTTAGTGTGATCTACAGCATTTTCCAAACCCATCCCTAGTAAGAGAAGGAACACAAAAAGTGGCTAGCAGTGCATTCTTCATGTTGATTAAACATCTGTCCAAGGATCTAGCCTATCAAAGAATGAAAAATCAACAAATTCCCAAGCTTCCTGCCTTGGAAATCAAGTTTGGGGGTCCTTGACACGGTTTCAAAAATTTGTGACTACTTTTCAATCTATTTGTCTTTTAGAATTTCATACATTGATTCATGTGTACTTACCTTCTTATCCCTCCTTTTCCTGCTCCAGCTTCTCCAGTGTCGTCTCCTATTCACTCTCAAGTTCATGAACTCTTCTTCTAGAATTATTATAGAATATATATATATATATATATATATATATATATATATATATGATATAGACTATATATATATATATATATATATATGATAACACTATACATAATATTTCATCTATAATACACATATACATATATTCTACTGAGCCATTTAGTGTTTTTCTTATGTACATGTGTTTAGGGCAGACTACTTGGGATTGGATCATTTATCAGGGGTGAAAGCCATATATGGGTGGGACCTTGTGAAATTTCCCCTGTCCATTTCCCCATGTTGGATGGTGTTGCAGAATGTAGGTCTTGTTTACACAACCATTTTGTTGAGATTTCATGGGTACAGCTTCCCTGTCACATCTAGAAGACACTTTCTAGCAGCAGATATCCTGGTCCTCTGGCTCTTATAATCTCACCCCTCTTTCTCAATGTTCTTGAGCCTTTGGTACAGAGGTTGTGTTGTAGATATACCAGTTAGGGATGATTGCCCCATGATCGTTTATTCTCTGCATTTTGACCAATTGTAGATCTGTACAGTACCTGATGCAAAATGAAGCTTCTCCAAGAAGTATAATGAGAGCTATGCTTATCTGTGAGTGTAGTCTTTAGAATGTAGTTAGAAAGCTGGGCGTAATGGTGCATGCCTTTAATCCCAGCATCTGGGAGGCAGAGGTAGAGGCAGATGGATCTCTGTGAGTTCGAGGCCACCCTGAGCTCCATGGTAAATTCCAAGACAACCAGATCTACATAGTGAGACCTTGTCTCAAGCAAATAAGCAAACAAACAAACAACATAAAAGAATGTAGTTAGAAATCATATTGGTTTAGGACAATGACAGTAGCAGGCTGTGCTCTATGGTCTATAACCTCTCCAGCCACAAGTAGTTGGCTGGGTTTACCATACCAGATATAAATTACTTCCTATTGAGCAGGCCTTAAGTCCAATTAGACAGCTATTGTCTGTAGGGGACAGTGTAAGCCAAGCCTGCTAGAAGCTGGCTACAGGAAAGCCTGACCACACCCATTAGGGTGTGGTCAAGGTGAGGTCAGGATGATGAGAGATAGGGTTTAAAGGGACAGACAAGGCACATGGGAGTCCCTTCTCTCTGGCCTCCCTGCCTTGCTGTCACTGGCACGCTCTGGCTTGTGTTTGGCTGGCGTTTATCTAATAAAGGATATCTTAACCTCACTGGTTACAAAGCTCCCACATTAATTGGCTATCCCCAAGATAATAATGTCGCTACTGCACATGGGGCTATCTTGCTGGGCTGGTCATTGTTATGGTTCAGCTTTCTCCTTTGGCAACTTGCATTTGACCTTCTGATACTATGAGAGATAGTCCTCAAGGAAGAGACTTCTAGCTCAGTTTCAGATCATATCCTCCAGGTCATGTTTCTAAAATACATGGTATCATCAGCAATAGAGTCTAATCTTCAATTTCTGGGAGGCAACAATAACCTATATGGTACCGAGGAGTCTCTTAGACAGCCCTGACCAACAACTTAAAAAGGAGCTTCCCTTGCCTGGGATTTTTGTTAGTGCATGGCTCTTGAGGGGAACATTATTTTAATTCCATTCAAGCTATACTGACCTGCATGCACACTTGTATGTGTGCATATACGTGCACACACACACACACACACACACACACACACACACACACAAATAAATAGACAGTAATAGGCTCTTGTATTACTTTATGTGTGTGTGTGTGGTGTCTATTAAAGTAAAGCTTATAAAATATAACATTTTCCTATGGTTTTTCCAAATACCCTTAGTGGTATATATCTTTCCTCCTACTCCTCTCTCTCTCTCTGAATTATCTTCCCTCCCTCCCACAAGTTCAGACCCTCATCCAAGTTTTCCCCCTCATAGTACCTGTGTCCTTTTAGATCCTTCTCCAGAGCTCTTTCTCTCCTATACCGCCATGACTCTTTCTAACCCTCCTGGTTTTTGCAGCTCCTTTGGGTTACATACTAAAGTCTAAAGATTCAGGAAAAAAGGGCCCACAAATACAAAAGAAAATGCAGTATTTGTCTTTCTGGCCTGGTTTATCTTGCTCAGTATAATAGTTTCTGGTTCTATGCATTTACATGATTTAATCACAAATTTCATGATTTGATTTTTATTTGCATCTCAATAATATTCCAGTGTGTCTATGCATCACATTTTCATTTTCTATTTGTTGGACATCTAGAATCTTTCCATGTCCTAGCTATTGTGACTAGAGCAGCAGTGAACCTCGTTGAGCAAGAACCTGTAGTAGAGAAGGATGTTGAGTCCTTTATGCCAGGGAGTGGTATAGCTGCGTCATATAGTAGATCTACTTTTCGTTTTTTGAGAATTCTCCATCTTGATTTCCATGGAGGCTGGACCAGCTTTCAATCACCAACAGTGAGTGATGTTTCTCCTTTCCCCATGTCTTCACCAGCATTTGTTGTCAGTTGTTTTCTTAATCTCAGATGACATCTCACAGTAATCTTAATTTGCATCTCCATGATGGCTAATTATGTTGAAGATTTTAAAGGTATTTCTTTAAAATTTTTAGTTTTGGGAATTCTTTTGGGAATTCTGTGTTCAGATCTATAGCCCATTTTCTTAGTTGGGTCATTTGTTTTCTTGAATTTTTTTTTAATCTTTTGAGCTCTTAGTATGTTCTAGATATTAATCCTCTGTCAAATGTACAGCTTTCCAAGATTCACTCCTACTCTGTAGGCTTCTTTCTTGTGCAACTGATTGCTTCCTCTGGTATACAGAAGCATTTTAATTTTATAAGATCCCACTTGTGAGTTGTTGGCCTTAATTCCTGGGCAAATGAAGTCCTATTCAGAAAGTCTTTTCCTGAACCTACATATTGTATAGTACTGGCAGTTTTCTTCTAGAAATTCCAGTGTTCTGATTTCATACTGAGGCTTTGGGTCCTTGTGGAGTTCATTTGTGTGCGGGGTGACAGGTATGGATCTAGTTTCATTCTTCTATATGTGGACATTCATTTCCCCCAGATCTTTGAGAAATGCCTCCAGCATCCCCACCGGCACTATTTCCCACAGCTCTGGAAGTTTTTACACCTGAAAGATGCAGGCCACATCCTAGCACAAGTCCAAGATCATAGAACGACTGTGTGTCGTTGTCTTCGTTAGGTTTTTATTGCCGTGAAGAGACACCATGACCACAGCAACTCTTATAAGGAAAACATTTAATTGAGGGGAGTCATTTACAGTTTCAAAGGTTCAGCCAATTATTGTCATGGCAGGGAGCATGGTGAGGTGGCATGCAAGCAGAGCTAGTGCTGGAGCTGAGAATTCTACATCTTGACTCAGAGGCAACTGACTGTAACACTGAGTGAAGCTTCAGATAAAAACCTCAAAGCCCAAGCCCACAGTGATACAATTTCAATAGAAAGTGTGTGCCGGATTAAAGGTGTGCCCTCCAGCCTCAAGGTTTGGATTATAGGTGTGTGACATCCAGCCTCCTCCAACAAGACCACACTTCCTCCAACAAGGCCATGTCTCCTAATAGAGCCACTCCCTCTGAGTTTATAGGGCCCAAATATATTCAAACTACCACAGTGGCCTTCTGTGCCAGGCTTAGATTGTTAGATACTGGGGATGCACCCTGGCTGGATGGAGAGAGGCAAATGTTATCCTAGGCCAAGAGGCTCAGAGAGCTTAGAAATGGGCTAGCCCACTACAAGAGTGATGAATTCTTTTCATGGATCCCTGGGGATAACCTGCCTTTTCCTCCTTTCCTCAGAGTGTATGCCTAATTTCTTCCTATACGATGACACATGCTATGAGTCCTGTCCCAAGCACTTCTATCCCGACTTGCACCAGTGTGTCCCCTGCCATGAAAATTGTTTGGAGTGCAAAGGCCCCAAGGAGGATGACTGTAAGGCCTGTGCTGATACTTCCAAGGTTCTCTACAAAGGGCTGTGTTTGGATATGTGCCCTGAGGGAACGTACAAAGATGAGGCAGATGATGAATGTAAAGGTAAGGATTTCCAGGCTGCATGACCGAGCAAAGGTGGCTGGGAAGCCTGTCTACACAAAGCGTGCTCTAGGGCCACCATAGTACCCAGTCACAGCTCTCAGGACACCCCTACCCTTCCCGCCCAAGGAAGCCAATTTTGAAAGAGTTCTTTTTTGTTGTTTTCTTTTGTTCGAAGAGGGTTTAAACAGGGTTTCTCTGTGTCTTAGCTATCCTGGAGTTTGCTCTGTAGACCAGGCTGGCTTCAAACTCACAGAAATCTGCTGGCCTCTGCCTCCCCAATGCTGGGATTAAAGATGTGTGACACCATAGCCCTGGCAAGAGTTCATTTTTAAAATGCATCATTCATAAGCTTTGTGCATGTGAATCTAGCTATTTACAGATCACAAGGCCTTTCTAATGGCATGTGCCCATCCAAAAGGATTCCCCATGTAAAGGTTTCCAAGAGCCGGTGAGCTTTTAAAGGGTGCTCTAAGTTGATAGTGGAAAGGCCACATGCTGGTTTGTGACCTTGCTCATAGTGATGAGCGACCATGTCCCCAAAACCCTACAAGTCTCCAGGAGAAAGGAATTCATTTCCTAAAAGGCTGTCCCTACCTTAACTGTCTCTCACCATCCTCTGCTTGGCTGCCATACCTGCAGATTGCTTCGAGTTCTGCCGGAGCTGCTCATCAGCTTGGACCTGCCTGGCCTGTCAGGAAGGCCTGACAATAGTGAATGAGGTCTGCAAGGCACCCAAGGAGTGTGCGGCTGTCGAGTACTGGGATGAGGGCACTCACAGGTGCCAGCCGTGTCACAGGAAGTGTTCCCGCTGCTCAGGGCCTGCCGAGGACCAGTGCTATACCTGCCCCGGAGAGACACTTCTTCTCAGTGAGTTGTAACATATGTCCAAGGCCAGCCGTGCTGTTCCTCTCTGTGTGAGCCTGCAGGACATGATGGCTGATGCCCAGTGGCTGTTAACTTCTTTCTGTCCTTTTTAAATTTTTCTTTACATTTCTTTAACATTTTTCAAACCTACAGAAAACAGACAAGGTGGGATGGTCAAAGGAACACACTACTTCACACTTCACACACTACTAACTTTCATCTTCCACCCTCCCCGTGAGCCTGCCTGTGCTAAGCCACAATCTACCTTTTTCCCTGAAACACTGAAGGGTAAACTAGACACACTTCAGTCTCTTTCCTGTGAACATTTTTGCTCTATGTTTCCTAGCACAGGGACAATTTCTTACACAAGACAGGACATTGTCAGCACTAATAAATTTGCATTGACACAACGAGCAATGGCTCAGTGGTTTAGAACACCTATTGCTCTTGCAGAAGACTCAATTCCCAGCACCCACCATGGCTCACACTCATTGAAACTCCACTGCCAGGGGATCCAATGCCCTCTTCTGACATCTGTGGATTCAGGCACACATGTGGTACACATACAGAGAGGCAGATAAAACATTAATACACATTAAATAAGTCTAAATTTTTAAAAATATACTGTTAATATTAAATTGTCCCAGCTGCCCTTTAGGACATGGTTCGGGACAAGGTCTACATGCATTTAACCTTTGTATCTTGGAGCCTCCTTGCCCAAAGAGAGGATGTGTGGGAGCCACAGGTCAGGCTTTCTGTCAAAACAGACTCTTTTCCTTCTTCAACAGACACGACGTGTGTGAAAAGCTGCCCAGAAGGCTACCACACTGACAAGGACAGCCACCGCTGTGTGCCCTGCCACAGCTCTTGCAGGACCTGTGAAGGATCTCACAGCATGCAGTGCCACTCCTGCCGACCTGGCTGGTTCCAACTGGGCAAAGAGTGCTTGCTGCAGTGCAGGGACGGGTAAGGACCTTCTCATTCTGCAGCTGCTCCAGAGGGCAATGAGGAAAGGGGGCCACTGTAAAGCCTCCCTGCGAGTAGGGAGCAAATATGAGCGAGGCCACACAACACAGGGCAAGAAAAGGAAGAAATAGTGTGTCTCCATGAGAAAACACACTAAGTCAGATGGTCCCATCAGACCAAGTGACTAACCATCCTCAGGGCCTGGCCTCACTGATAATCCACAGATACTTGCAGTCCCACTACAGAGCGGTTCCTCCTCCCCTCAGAATGACTACATTAATGACCCACATGCATTAATAGAGGTTCTTTTCCTTCAGTTTTAGGATATGGTATGGTTCTGCATTAATGTGCAAAACCTAAGCAGTACAGGTGGGACATTGATCGCACAAAGGGAGCAATTTCAGTTACCATCTCCATTTACACCCCATGGACTCTGCAACCTGCCAGCCCTCCACAAATATCCAACCTCCACAATCTGCAGCTTTGGTTCTAAACGAAACCTTGACGCTGATATGAAGTGCTAATACAAAGCAGTTTGTGAATAAGAACTTGATTATTTTTCTGCTAAGAACAACTGCTGGTGTGTATATCAGGTCTGGTTACAAACACTCTGAGAAGAAGGCTTGATTGGGCCATGCCCTCCTCAGCATCCCACACCCCTTCCCACTCTTTCCCAATTAGTAACCTGGGGCCCTGAGGGGTTCCAGACCCAAACTGAAGGACCGTCCCTGGATGCTTTCACCCCAATTGGTACCTTTCTTCAGCCCTAAATGGTGTCTGCATGTTTCATTTATTTCAGTGCTGTATATTGGCTCATGTTTCTGCAAATCTCATTCATTCACTCGTGTAGTCCACACAGGTCAGTGTAAGAGCACCTGGTATGCCTGGATAAGCTGAGTTAAAGCCCATACTTTATACTTCAAAGGCTTATCCTTGTCCTGGCATCTCCTCATCAAAAGGAATTTAAGTTCCTGGAAGAAAAACAACTCTTGTTTTTCATGTGTGCCACCACACACGAAGCACAGAGTCAATGCCTCAGTGATTTGGGGCAAGTGCTAGCCATGAGCATTAATGGCGACACGCCACTGCCAGACAAGGATCATGAAGATACAGACATGAGCCACACAACCTCTGGAGTCCTTCAGACCTTGATCTGATCTGGAAGTCTAGCCATGTGCATTAATGGCGACACGCCACTGCCAGGCAAGGATCATGAAGATACAGATATGAGCCACACAACCTCTGGAGTCCTTCAGACCTTGATCTGATCTGGAAGGCATCTGTTCACCCTCAGCAGATGCACAGTTGTGTTATATTGGGGTTGGCAAATGAGGCTTTTCATACCATCTCCTATTTGATATTAAATAAGTTCTCTTAATGTTCTAAGCCATATATGTTTTGAATCTGCAATCTTTGGGATGACAATATAAGCTCAGAAGGTTTTGCAGGGGATGCTGTAGCCAGCCCCTAAGCAGGCATGGCTACAGCATCCCCTACAATGGTAATTTCCCACATTAAGGTATGCCTTGAGAATTAATTTAAAAACCCACAACTAACACAAATATACACGATTCATAGAGTCCTAGTCACTAGTATAACAGCTTTCTAGTGTTTAATTGTAGTGCTAGTAATAACTCCATGTTACAAATAAGGAATATGAAACACAGAGATATTGAGTGACCCACCCAAGGGCACACAGCTCATTACATTAGGTGGTACTGCTTGGATTTGAAAGCACACTTGTTCCAGAGCCTAAGCTTCTAACCATCACATTCTGGTTCATTTTCATGTTCAACGGGATGAAATGTTTCTGAAGTCCCTAGGGTATCATCAGGTACACAATGGAGCTTAATGAGTGGTTGTTACTGCTAACATGTTGACTCTCCAAAAATCCTTCCCAAGGGATTTACATCTGTTTTATAAAGGCTAGCATCAATCATATGGCCTCATATTTTAAAATGTTTTTAAATTGAGAAATTAGAAGATCCATCCAGAGGTACACTCTAAATTGCCTTTTGAGCTGGGTGTAGTGGCACATGCTTGTAGTCATTGCCCATGTTCAACGGGATGAAATGTTTCTGAAGTCCCTAGGGTATCATCAGGTACACAATGGAGCTTAATGAGTGGTTGTTACTGCTAACATGTTGACTCTCCAAAAATCCTTCCCAAGGGATTTACATCTGTTTTATAAAGGCCAGCATCAATCATATGGCCTCATATTTAAAAATGTTTTTAAATTGAGAAATTAGAAGATCCATCCAGAGGTACACTTTAAATTGCCTTTTGAGCTGGGTGTAGTGGCACATGCTTGTAGTCATTGCCAGATCCTGCTGCAGCCTGGGTTCCAGTCCTGAGGTAGAGAAGGGGCATTGGTTCAAAGAAATGAATTATCCAACCACCAGATGAGTTTCACACAAGTGGCCAGCCCCGAATAGCTCCAGACATCTTTATTTATAAATCAAAAACAAGATTGTTTTCCATACAAACAAACAAGTTTTTCCCATTCTCCAATGTTAACCTTCAGCAAAAACAAATATGTTGAATATGGTTTTTCCCAACTTTTACATCAAAATGTCTTTAAACCAAAACAACACTTACCATTTTGCTAGCTTGGCGAAATATCGAGCCAGGTGCATCCTGTCTTTACAAAACTAAAAGGTGATTGACATAGGCACGTACTTTCAAGAATAGCAATCTCATTCAAAACATTTTTACAGAGATAGGTCTGCTCTGCTCCCATCCTGTCAGCACTGAATCAGAACAGTTCCTGGGGTCTAGAGTGACAGCTGGCAACCCTAGACAAGAAACCTGAGAAGCATCAGCACCCAAAGAATTTTAGGGAAAATTATTTGAGAAAAAAGGGGTTTCTAGGAATGATCACATCTGTCTCATGCATTATGGACAAAATGACACTAAAACAAACAAGAGAATCATCAATAGTAAGTCCCAAAGAATTTTAGGGAAAATTATTTGAGAAAAAAAGGGTTTCTAGGAATGATCACATCTGTCTCATGTATTATGGACAAAATGACACTAAAACAAACAAGAGAATCATCAATAGTAAGAGAGAGAGGAGAGCATGCAGGCTTCAAGATCCCAGCAGTACTCTACACTGTCCCAAAGTCCTTGCCAAGTGAGACTGTCTCCATGGGCTTAAGTGAGACTGTCTCCCTGGGCTTTTGCCTCATCTGGAGACCCATCAGACAAGCACTCATATACTGGTCCAAAACTAGGCCACACAGCTCCCGACAAGTCATAGCATTTGAAGGCAAGATATTTGCTACAAATTTGAGGCCAGCCTGGACTACAACAGGAGTTCAAGTCCAGTCTGACTATACATAGGAGATTCAGTCTATTCAAATGATGTTGGAGGATGGTGATGATGAAGATGATGATGATGATGATAATGATGAAAGGAAAGGAATGCTCTTCCATCCAGGGTGTGGCTCAGCAAAGGTTAAAGTTAAATCTGGAGCCGTCAAAGGAAGAACAGGCAGTGGCAGTGGTGGCAGAGAACTGTTGAGCCACAACCGTGTGTGACTTTGGCCTTATCATAGGTGCTTCCGGCTCCATGTTCACACACAGCCGGGGCCTGGGGAGGGCTATAACACTCAGTGTACAGGAAAGAGAACCCACACTCACTGGATTCATTAGCATTTTGGCAATGATTCCATGAGGAAGGTGGAGTGAAGAGACCGAAGAGGCCAGGCCTGTGAATAAACCCTGTCTGACACAGCCCTTAGTTCAAGCAGAGCCCATTCAGCCCTCCACATCCTCGGCTTCCACACTTGATTAGGGACTGGAAATATTCAAAAACAATGCATCTGTTGCTGAACACATAGCTTTTTACTTGTCATTATTTCTGAGCCAGTATAGCATAACAACCATTCCCGTGGCATTTATCACTGAGTCACTGAGAACCATTTAGAGATAATTGAAAGCATAAAGGAGGAGGCAGGGTTAATACAGACACCGTGCCGTTTTATACATGGGACTTGTACACACACAGTGTTAGCATCCAGGCACACCTTGGCCACGCCCCTTGGGGGACCTGGCAGAGTGCATCACCCCTACACACATGGTAGGCAGTACCCGGGCTCTGTACACAGGTGCAAAGGGCCCCTTTAGGAGACAAGCTCTGCCCACTCCAGCTCTCTTTACCGCTGCTTCTCTGAAGAGGCAGGGAGGGGTTTGCCTCTCTCCCTTTCTCTCTCTCTTTCTCTCTTCCCACATCTCTCCTCTCTCCTCTCCCTTTCCCTCCTCCCTTCCCTTCCCTTCCCTCAGTAAAATTGACAAAAGCTCGGTCTGCATGGTGTTTGCCCCTCACTAGCTGAGGTCCCTCTCTTGCCATTTTATAACACATGCCAATCCTCTCAGAGACTGAGTGTGTCTGAGATTTGTATATCTTTGCTCCCCTCCTCATTTCAGATATTATGGAGAAAGCGGTCGCTGTGAGAAGTGTGACAAGAGCTGCAAGGCATGCCGGGGCCCACGGCCCACAGACTGCCAGTCCTGCGATAAATTTTTCTTTCTCCTGCGCTCCAAGGGACAGTGTCACCGCACCTGTCCAGAACACTACTTTGCAGACCAACACGCACAGACCTGTGAGAGGTGCCACCCAACTTGTGACAAATGTGATGGTGAGAATATGCAAATGAGATGGAAATTTGAGGGGTTTTCCTTCCTGTTTATTCCCTCTCCCTCTTACCTTGTTGCGGGGGCGGGGGGGGGGGGGGACCCCTCCTTCTGAACTTTTCCTCAGGCTTCTCCAGCATTAGCACACTCTCTCTCCACTCTCCACTTCTGCAGCATCCTTGCTGCCTTCCAAATTTGCTGTCTATCAAGGTTGATAATACAGGGATCATTGCTCTATTCCTGCTCCCAACTTCCTTCTCCACTTGTATGATCTCATCGCTCTGAATAATCCCTGAGAAAAACAACTTAAGGGGAGAAGGGCTTGTCTCAGCTAGTGCCTGCAGAGGCTTCAGTCTCCAGTCAGCTGGCTGCACAGCTGAGGACCAGGCAGAACACCTTGGTAGCAGGATCTTGTCATATAGCAGAGAAGATCAGCTCCCAGCAGACAGGAAGCAGGGATGAGTTAAGGGAAGAGAAGCAGACACACTTCCAGGGCAGGCCCCAAGCACCCTCCTTCCTCCGACTGACCCCACGTCGCACCCTCTCTCTCCCTCCTTCATCTGACCCTACTTCGTACCATCTCCCTCCTTCCGCTATCTGACCCTACTTTGCACCATCTCCAAACAATGTCATTAGATTGTGAATCCATCACAAGCTCCATCCACCGATGAAGTCAAGATCTAATTGGCTCCCCAGAGTCTGTCCTGTGGCAAACATGAGCCTGACGATGGAGACATTTCATATTCAAACTGCAACATACATAGCACTTGTCTAGGGAAAGCCATTCGTGTTCATCAGTTTAGAAACTCCCCAAGACCTCTGCCTCAAGCTCTCCCAAGATCCAGAATTGTTTTCCTGGTGACCGATGGTGCCCGAGATCATAAAATCAATGTCGGTGGGACCACCATTCAACCACTGCCTGGGGCAGCATATTGACGCTATCCCTGATATTACTCTGCCCCTTACTTCCTACTGAACCCACTTACCTACAACACAGATGAGTTTCAAGACCTGTGGGCCCTGTCCTAAGTATCCCTCACATCAGATGTCCTTCTGGAGTCTTGCTGTGCTCATTACATGCCCAGGATCCCTTCGCAGGCCTTTTGAAGCAGCTGGCAGGTCCCTGTGGCCCTCTGTTCCCTCCTGCAGGTTATCCTAGCACAGCCATTCTGAAACTTGAGTGTGCCCATTTCCAGGAAAGATGGCCACAGTGAAGCTATGTAAGAGATGGTAGTGCACATTCCTGTTCCCCCTTTCAAAACAGCCCTGGCTTTCTCAGCCCTTCTAGATACATTTCTAACAGTTCTTAGGATATTGATTGGCATCACATTATTTTGTATTATCCTAAGTTTAACAAAATAAGGACATTTTGTGCAAGTATATAACGAACATACTCCTCTTCCATATGATGTTATCCCACCTGGGTAGAGATGCAGGCCAGGTTTAAACACATGTCCTTCAACACATGATGCCTGTGCCTTATCCTCTTCAGTATTTCCTACCAGAATGCACCAGCAAGCTCAGCTTCCGTTTTTAAAGGTCATTGCTGGGGGTGAGGTGGGGGGGGTGTAGAATAGATTTTTATGGGTGGACTGAGGGGGATGGGAATAGGAGATGAAATGAGGAGGGGTAAGGAAATAGGGTTGAGGGAGGGGTTATGGGGAGGAACATCTGGGAATGAGGGTCATTTGAGGGATGGCATGAAAACCTAAAGCAGTGGAAACCTCCTAAAATATATAAAGGCCATCCTAATAACATTTCCTAATAATGGGGGAGATGGAGTTCCAACCCACGGAAATCCTCAAACAACTTGCCAAGACAATGAGTTGCTAACCACAAACTGATAGCTGGGTCCCACTGCTGAGGACAACACCCTCATGACTCATTGAACATGGAGAAGTTGAGCTGATGCCTACATAGAACCTTTACCCCTATGTCCTAATATCTTTAGTGTAGGTAGGTACTCCACAGGCTACCAAAAGAGAAATGTAAACACCAACCCAGTCACAAAACCCTTGATTTACAATCTGTCCTGCCTGCAAGAGATGCTAGGGCAATGTGGCCCAGAACTTATGGAAGCCAACCGATGTCTGATTTGACTTAAGGCCCACTACATGAGACAGAACCCATATCTGACACTGCTTGGGTGACCAAGAACCAGATACTAGACGTCACAGAGACCCAAAGTAAAGCCAAACACAACTATTCTTTTTTTAAAAAAATGATGACAGAAATCTTTCCCTATTCAGATCCCCTAATTCAATCTTAATTCTTATTCCACACATTCTAGAGTCAAGACCCACCTACAACTACACGGAACCACTAAGCAACCGACTAAAATGCCACTCTCTCACATGTCCCCCTGTGACCTAGTTCCCCTTTCTCAAAAACAAACCCTTGGGGACTCAGAGACCCAGCTTGGACATCATCTTAGAGAGCTAGTCTTGGTCCTCCTGGCAGGCTTCTCCCTCCATCCCAATTCTGTAGTTTGACATTTCGCCAAAGCTTTTTATGTGACCTTTTTCCAGTGCTGAGGCAAGCATACTACTTACCACGGAGTTAGATTCCCAGCCTTCCATTACACTTTAATTAAATTTGTCCACCTCTCCAACTGTGAGCCCCTCCAGCAAGAGCAAAGATTATCAGGGTTGTATGGCATTCATTGTGTAGATCTGCTCTTTTTAATATAACACCTGATAAATGTTCCCTGAGTGTTGAGTAAGGAAATGAATATATAGGAAGTAAATAATTCCTTTTTTTCAAACTGGAAAATGTTGTTTCTCCAGCCTTGCCTCTGAGAAAAATGCAGCTGAAGATAGCCTTGAATTTTTGATTGTCCTGCATCCATTTCCCAAATTTCTGGAATTACAGGCATACACCAGCATGGCCAGTTTATGAGGTGATGGGGATTGAACCCAGGGCTTTGCATATACTAAGCAACTACTCTGCCAGCTCACCTATGTCCCCTGTCACCTGGCAGAATGCACTCAGGCAGTCTCCCTCCATCTGGTCTCCCCAGGGTTCCATGTTTGCATAGTCTGCACAAAAGTGCAAAGGACCCCTTTAAAAGAAAGAGCCCCCCACTTATGCGCTCTTTCCCCCCTCTCCTTTCCTGCTGTTCCCCTAGGGCACACAGGACTTTTCCTGTCTCCCCCTTCTCTTCTGTCTTCTCCCCGTGTCTTTATCACTCTTTACCTTATTTTCTGACCTCTCCCTCAATAAAACTTTCAATATGAGTCACGTCTACAGGTCTCTGTTTCCCCATCTGCCCGCCATCTATCACCTGCCCCAAGACTGCCATCCTCGTGGTCCCAGCTCGGGACCCGGAACCTGCTACCTGTGGTCCCAACCCATTATTCTTTATTCCTAACTGCCAGCCCCATTCTTGTTGTCCTTAGCTTTGATTAATCTGTGTACTGTAAAATGAGTTCATCCTGAGCTCATTTTGAATGGGAGAGTTAGATCTGGGTTCTCTACTCCTCTTTCTCTTCCTTCATACTTTGTTTGTTTGTTTGTTTGTTTGTTTATTTGAGACAGTGTCACTCCATGTAATCCTGGCTGTCCTGGAATTTGCTGTGTAGACCAGGCTGCCTCCTTACTTCAATTAAGTAAAAGTAAACCTACCTATCTCAGAGTTATATTCTCGGCCTTACATTACATTTTAATTAAATATGTCCCTCTTTCCAACTGTGAGTCCCTTCAGCAAGAGCAAAGATTATCTGGGTTATATGGCATTTTGGAGCCCTGCTCTTACTTTAATACAACACTTGATAAGAAAATGAACATACACAAGAACATTGAAAATGGAAATGTACCTGCAATAAGACAGTATTCATAAATAAAAATTAATTTTAATGGAAGAGACAAAAAAAAAAAAAACAAAGCAAATGAACTTACAGAAAGTAGCATATTGGTGGCTGCTGAGTGGTTCCATGTAGTTATAGGAGGTTCTTGACTCTAGAATGTATGAAATAAGAATTAAGGCTGAATTAGGGGATCTGAATAGGGAAAGATGTCCATCACCATTTTTAAAAGACTAGTTATGTTTGATTAGTCTTTAAATAATAAAACCTGTTACTCGGTTTACTCCACCCATGTTTCCACCAGAAACTCCATCCAGACTAGGATAGTCCATTTTTCCTGGAGATGACATTCTTGATAGTACAGATCAAATCAACAAACCAATTAGCTCAGTGGGGGAGAACTTGTCTGTGACAGCAGAGTCCCTCCCTAACATTTAAGCCCTGAGCCTGGGCTTTAGTTCCAGTCTCTTGTGAAACACTTTTAGTTCCTGTTATGGTTTTTAAAGAAGATGGAGGGAAAGGAGGAGGAAGAATAAAGGAGAAGAAAGAGAGGGGGAGGGAGAGAAGAGAAGAGAAGAGAAGAGAAGAGAAGAGAAGAGAAGAGAAGAGAAGAGAAGAGAAGAGAAGAGAAGAGAAGAGAAGAGAAGAGAAGAGAGGAAGGAAGGAAGGAAGGAAGGAAGGAAGGAAGGAAGGAAGGAAAGAAGGAAGATACATCTGCCCACTTCTTGCCCAGGCAGGGCAGGCAAGTGCTTTATTCCGACACTGTGCAGTTGTGTTTGCTTTCTGGGTTGAAGAGACTTCATCTAGATAGTTTAGCCTAAATCTCTTTTGTTGTTTTCTCTGCTGTTTGTTTTCCCATCTCAGTATGCTTAGAATGTATCAAGCTATACAAGAATTTAAATTCACATGTGAGATTTATTTCTAAGACAAGGTCCCAATATATAGCTCTGGTTGGCCTGGAACATACTATGTATATCTGGCCTTGAACTCACAGAGATCTGCCTGCCTCTGCCTCCTGCATGTTTAGATTGAAGGTGTATATCACCATGCTCAGCAATGCATTTTTATTTTATGTGTACAGGTGCTTTGCCTTCCTGTATGCTAGTGTACCAAGTGCATGCGATGCCCACAGAGGCCAGAGGAGGCATAAGATACCCTGGAACCAGAGTTATAGGAGGTTGGGAACAGCCAATGGGGTGCTG